TGTTCCCGGCTTTGGATGCAAGGCGATTCGCTTACTTGTGTCGGATACGCGCGTTCTCCGAGGAGGACAAAAAAAAAAAAAAAAAAAAAAAAAAACGCGTTCTTCTCAAGAGGCACGCGGCACGCACACACGCAGGTATACGAGCGTAATTTTGTTTCCCTCATCTCTCGCAAGCACATTGCAGTTAGTCCACGGTCTTTTCTCGATTTTTCTTTCGCAATGACAAAGATAATGAGACGCGGGGATTTGGGGTGGGAATGTATAATAAGTAAAGTTGCGGGAGTGGTTGGGCGGGTTGGGAGACGGGGATTGTATCGATCTGCCTGGGGGGGGAAACCGGGGGGCGGAGTGGGGTGGGGTGGGTAGCGGGGGGGTGGTCGAGGGGGGACGCTGGTGTGCACCCGCTAGACCCCCTTTTCCACCTCCTCATCATCCTCCATCTCCATCTACCTCCCAGTCTTCCTCCCTTTTCCTCCTCCTACACCCACCCGGTCCACCCGTTACCACCCTCAACTAAATGGATGGCTGACGCAGGGGTTGCTTGGGTATATGTTACGTGTATTTCTCCCCCACATTGACGCGCACACTGCCACACACGTGTACCTGTGTGTACCCGGGCGAAAATGGTGGGCCCCACTAGCCATCTTCGTTTTAAGCATTTGCTACCACCCTCTCACCCCCCTACGTTCGTCCCCCTCTCCCATCCTCGCCGAACACTACCTCCTCCTCCTCCTCCTCCTCCTCCTCTTCCTCTTCCTCCTCTTTCTCCTCCTCCTACTTCTCTTCCTCTCTTCTTTCGCGTGCCACGTATATGTATATGCACCTATCTCTCTCTTTTTCTCTCTCTCTCTCTATCTCTGTATGTGTTTTTCTCTGTGTGCTCAAGTATATATGTGTGGTATGTGTATGTAACGGCTCGTCGTCGTCTGTATATATACGTTCGTCCGGCGGTATTTGCTCCGAATTGGGTTCTCTCTCCTCTTCCCGCTGTATTTTCTCTTTCTTTCTCTCTTTCTCTCTCGCAACTCTGGGTATGTACCTCGAATTTTCGCGAAAAAAGGAATATACGCTTTTCCTTTGTCTTTCGCGGAAGTCTATACACACGCACTACGAGCGCTATTGCGATTGCAAATGAGGGATCGGTGAGAGTGAGAGAAAAAGAGAGAGAGAGAGAGAGAGAGAATGTGTGTGTGTGTGTGTGTAAAAAATAGAAAAGGTTCGGGGGAGAGGTCAAGGAAAAAGGGCTTTTTTTTTTTTTTTTAATATATAGAGGCTTCTTTACAAATCGCGCATATGTCCGTACCGTTCGCGCTCGCGTATTGAGAATTCGAGAGAAAATCAGCGGCTAATTAGACAATGTCAAGAGATGTTCATTCCCGGTTTGTTACAACATTTTACCTCGTTTCGCGCTCTCCCGCAATCGACCAGCGCTTGCAGTCGCAAAACCCAGCGCGCGGATGGTTTTCATTTTGTTTCGCGTGCTTCCGTCTCGCGTTTTTTCTCTCGCTACAGCAAGAAACCATGAAAAACGCGCATTCTCTCGAACTCCGAAAATGTTGTCCGATGACGATCGCACACACAAATACTTGCAAATAACACGATCGTATTATGCATATATGTAAGATTCGAAGATTGCGAAATGAGCACGCGCGTGTCGGAAGAATATTTTGATTCACGGATAAGTAACGGGGGGTCAAGTTATTGATTTCCGTACTTTGCGAATGAACATACATATGACGTGGAAAACTATGAATGATAAATAGAAACACGGTCTTGAAAACTGACGGCGAGATGATCGGAACCGTAAATTATATTTACGTGATGTAATTGAGCTATGTGTGAACTCATTCGCGCTTTGATAAATTAGAAAAAGAGGAGGGCGAGAGAGAGCGAGCGAGAGAGAGAGAGAGAGAGAGAGAGAGAGAGAGAGCGCATATTAGCTGACACGTAAAATTGCGACGAGATGAAACGTGAAAAAAAAAAAAAACACAAGATAAAGGCAATTTGTCGTTCATTTCTTTTTTGGAAGAGCTGTAAGAGGTGGTATGCATAGTAATCGTACGTAGTAGATGTATCTTGAAGCGAATCTCTATTGTGTTACAAGATTAGAAAACGAGAAATACGTAGAGTGGGTATCTTGTAATGAAAATTCCAGTGGCGAGCGCGGAGCAGCAGAGGTCAGAATCCCCTGCGAGCACGCAGAATCCGAAACTCGAGAATCCCGACACTACTAAGGAAATGACTAGTAAAGATGGGATCGGGCCCAAAGTGATGATCAAAGGGGGCGGGAAAGGGGGCTGGCTGAAGGCCCCATTATCGGAGGCCCAAGAGCCCCACGGTGAGTGAGAGTAGTTGATCGAAAGGTGGCCATTACCGACGAATCTAATCGAAGTTTTCCCACTTACGGACTCAATGTAACAGAATGGCAATCGCGAAGAATAAAGCAATTCTTTTTTTTTTTTTTTACATTACGATATAGATTTTCTACGTAGAGTTTTAATGATAATTGTGCGAAACCTAACGTTCTCTCTTACGCGAGCAATGTGATTTCTAATTCGGATATTCTGCGACATTTCTGTCTCTCGAGTATCAAATGGCAGCTTTTTGTGAAAAAAAAAGTTCAAATCTTTACTGATGCAAGATATCTTTGTGTTGTAAATACAAATATCTCTTTTTATAATGTGAGAGATGATGTTTCCTGAAACACGTAGATTGTAAAAAAAAAAAAATAGATAATAATTTAAAATAAATATATAACAAATATGTTCTCTTTATATGTTTCTGAATATATTCTCTATTTTTAAGCAAAAGCCACGCGTATTGTTTGTCATTATTAGTGAAAATAGAAAAAAACATGTATATATTATTATTATTATTATCATATTGTACATATGTATATATAATAATTTACAAGAAAATAGGTAATGCGTTTTAACAATGCAGAGAGATATAGATTTGTCGGTAAATGGCATAATAACTTGCGTCGCTGTTGATTATCTGATTAATTTTACGTTCGAAGCCGATGATGATAAAATGAGGATGAATTTTGCGGCGGGATTTATTAAATTCTTTGTAATCTTGGTGTGTGCCGCGAGTTAAGGCAAGTTTCACTGTAAGGCCAAAGATACATTAAATTGGGCATAACCGAGCTTCTTTTTTTTTTTTAAGCCAAATAAAGGAGTTCGGTGATGAATTTTCTCTCGTGAAACACTGCCCGCACATGTTCAATATCATTCATCTGAAAACATTCGCATCAATATTTATTCACCTTTTTCTATCTACTTGTCATCGTCATCTCTCTTCTGCGCGTCTTTAATAACTATATATTTAATAACTATTTTTACGACTATTTGGAAAAAACTCAATTTTTTAAAATAAATTCTTCGTATTTCATCTCTTGATTTTTTTATACACATTATCATCTATTCATCTATTCATCCGCATACAAAAAAAAATAAAAAATCCCGCCGCACCGTGATTACTTTCTTTAGTAATCTGAGGCTTCAGTGAGTAACGTATTTTTACATACCAATATTTTTTAATCGCCTTTCCGTTATAAATTATATTGTTTTTTTTTTTTTTTTTTACGCCTTACAATTACTCTTCGTTTACTCTTTCTTTATGTTGCGCCCGCTCTTGATGATGTTTCAGTTTTTGGTTTTGTACTCGAGTTTTGATTGATTCTGCCGTATTCCTGCGTATTTTATTTACTACTTTAGCGAAGTATATAAAAAAGAAAAAACGAATTAGTGAAAAGGATACGATGCTAGTCGAAATTTTTGAGTTAAATGCGCACAGGACGTCACGGAAGTATAAAACCCTTTTTATTCGGCAAAAGTCTTCATTGCAAAATGAAACAATTAGTAAAGACACGTTTTTTTAAGAAAAAAGATGTGTGTGAGAATAACTTAAGTAAATATTTGAATATAACACTACTGTGTTTCTGTTTGTACATTTATCTTTTGTATAAGGAAAACGGTGTGCATCTCTAATCTTGTTGTAGACTTTTCTATTATTGTGTGCTCTTTAAAATTAAAATAGAGTATCTTATAGAGCAATGTATAAATTACACGTACACTTACATCTCACGTTAGATCAATAACTTTTTTACATAAAAAAGATTTTGACTTTGACTGTACAACAAAGTAAATTTTACGAAAAAATTTTATCATATTATTTGCAAAATGTTTTCTGACAGCGTTTGTTACTCAGCTTGTTAATTTTTTTTCATTAAGAACTTTTCTTTAAAAAATAATACACAAAAAAACATTTAACTATATGTACATATATATATATGTATATAAATGTATAAAATATATTATTTTGATTTTTGTGTGATGTGTAGGGATGGATGAGAGTGTTCCTGGAGGAGTCACGGAGTTAAGTAGTAAACAACGCCACCAAATGAAGCACAGAGAATTGTTTTTATCGCGACAAGTGGAGACTATGCCAGCTACGTATATTAGAGGCAAATGTTGCGTGACATTATTAAATGAAACTGAATCCTTGCTCAGCTACCTAAATAAAGAGGATTCATTTTTTTATTGCTTAGTATTTGATCCAAATCAGCGTACTTTGCTTGCTGATAAAGGTACAGTATAACAAACAAAATGCATTTTTGTTTTTCTTAATATGTCAGATACGTTGTTAAAAAGAATATTTTCTTTTTTTTTTCTGAATTTCAAAATGTATACAAGTAAATCTAATAAAAGGATTTTCATTCCTTCTGTTTCAGGTGAAATTAGAGTTGGTAGTAGGTATCAAGCAACGGACATACCAGCGGTATTGACCCAAGCCGAGAAAGAGACGGATCCTCGTAGGTTACAAGACTTGGAGACCTTGGTGTGGACTCCGAGACACAATCTGACAGATCGGCAAATTGATCAGTTTCTTGTCGTTAGCAGATCGGTAGGCACCTTCGCGAGAGCCTTAGATTGTTCATCCTCCATCAAGCAACCCTCTTTGCACATGTCCGCGGCTGCAGCATCCAGGGACATCACCTTGGTAAGAGGTTACATTTGGGTTTTAAACAAATAAAACTCTGAGAAAAAACGCGTATATTGAGAATACGTATATTACATTTACAAATTATATTTACAGTTCCATGCAATGGATACTTTGCACGTACACAACTATGATTTAGCGAACGCCTTGGCGTCTCTAGTACCTAGTACCGGTCCAGTCCTGTGCCGAGATGAAATGGAAGAATGGAGCGCGTCCGAAGCGAATCTTTTCGAAGAGGCGCTTGAAAAATACGGGAAAGATTTTGCTGATATACGTTCGGACTTTGTAAGTAGTCCATAAACGAGAGAGATAAAACGATATATATATGTATATATATATATACACATATATATATCTGAGCAAAACTATTAATACACGTACGTGTTTCTCGTTACCAGCTACCATGGAAAACGCTGAAAAATGTGATCGAGTACTATTACATGTGGAAAACAACAGATCGATATGTTCAGCAAAAAAGAGTGAAGGCTGTGGAGGCTGAAAGTAAACTGAAACAAGTTTACATACCAAATTACAGCAAGCCTCCCGTATCGGCTAATGCTCCTTCCTCGGCCACAATCGTACCTCTGAGTAATACCAACAGTAATACTAATGGAAAACCGACAAATATTCTGAATGGTAATAGCAACGGTAGTATGGCGGGCGATAATTCCGGAATACTCATGGTCGGAGTTAGTACAAAGCCGTGCGAAGGTTGTCAGACGATGCAAAGTTCGCAGTGGTTTGCATGGGGACCACCGCCAACGCAGTATCGTCTCTGTCAATCATGTTGGACGTACTGGAAGAAATATGGAGGACTCAAGGTACGTATATTTTTGTTGTTGTGTTATAGACCAAATAACAGAGGTCACATCAAACAACATCGAGATTATGTTTGTGGAACTAGGAGTGTGAATAAAATGTTTTTGTATTGTTACAAACAGGTTCCGCGCTCTGACGATGTTGATCTCGAGAGAAAACGTGCTGGTGCCGGTTCGGACGAAGAAAGCAAAGGAATCGGCGGAGCACACCGACCGCATCGATGTAGCATTCCCACTTGTGGAAAGGAGTTTAAGCTGAAGGCACATCTAAGTCGTCACTACGCAAGCGCGCACGGAGTAGATTTACGTGGCACCACCGGGAGCGGTGGAGGCGGTAGCGGATCACCTCGACCAGTTATGAAAACCAGATCTGCGTTTTATCTGCGCACATCTTCGCTAGCACGTGCGGCTCGACGACTGTGTGCCGCACAATTACGTACACGGCATGCGGCACGCGCGCCTCATCAGCCCGTGAATGCTACGCCACTGCGACACTTATGTGCCCAGTTAGCGTCAAAGAGTCCCACGGAATTGCGTATCCTGGCGCGTGCCGTCCGACCTCGTCAGCGTCCACGAGTGGCTGATATCGCTTCACGTCTGGGTGTTCATCCAGTGCCACGACAGCCCGGTGACTGGGACTGGTTAGCATTGACCACCCCAGCGCAACGAAAACAACCCGACCGGGTCTCGTTTCCACGCCCGCCGAAAGCACCAGGTAATATTACAAATAAAAGTTTATAAAAAGTATAAACAAGATTAGACTTCATTGATTAGATGACTGCAGTCTCTATTGGAAATAGAATATAATATTTTTAATAATAAAACACTAATCCTTATATTATATTGACTGATAAAATTATGAGGATAAACAACTATTTGTTGTTTATAATTAAGAAAAATATTGTATCTGTAATATCTAAATAATACTGTATTTAACTATTCAAAATTTAAATTTTTACTTTTGCGCAGAGAAAACGAATTAAATATATTGTTTTATTTATAAAAAGATTCATAAGATACAACTGTGTTATTATACAGACGGCAGCCTTTTGTACGAAAGGGTTCCGAACAAACCCGAGGTAGATAGACTCACATTGACGCCACCCCAACCGCAACCTGTTTTGGCTCAACAGAACATTCTGAAGCGCCCGAGACCATTTGACGAAGTCAATGGGTCAGACGGTAAGTTCCGTAATATAATATCATTTATGATCAATTTGAATCGTAACAATTTCCAATTATAGTAAACGGAAGAATCTTGTCTCTGTTTACCGGCTTCTGTTCGGAAGTGGATTGGGAAGGTAAAATCAAAAAAAGTTTACCTTCATCAGATAAAAGGATCATTTTTTATGTTATTGTTTACGTTAAATCAAATAACGTAAGTATAAAAAACAAAAAAAAAAAAAAATTCATTGCAAGAAAAACTTGATATGCAACGTGCAAATGATGTGCTTTAATGCAAATTTCAAGCCAAAGATATCTCGTAAATTGCGTAAACGATTACGTTCGAACTTACAAACTTTACCAGCCAGAAATGTGTTGGTTAAAATGTGAATCTTTTTTAAACTCAGCTCGAATCTTCGTCTCTTCATGTGATTCTAGGTATTCCTCTAGGCATGGGACTTCCTCCCGGCGCACCACCTCCCGCTAAGAGACCACATCATTCACAGCATCCGAAGCATTCGTTGGAGCATCCTGCTCCCGCTGTTCTTCCACTCGCGCCGCCTCTCAACGGCAGAGCTGCTCATCCACACACACTGCCGCACGGCCCGCCGTTATCCAGAAGCAATGCGCGTAAACAAGTGATCTCGTGGATGGACGCGCCCGACGACGTTTACTTCCGCGCTACGGAACAGATCAAGTGAGTAAAGAAATCATAGACGATAAGAAAAAAATTATAGGTTTAGATTTGAATCACATCAAGAAAAAATTACCGAGAGTAGATCTAGTCCAGAGTTACTTTTAATAATCTTAAAATAATATTTGTATCGAATTACAGAAGAGCCAGAAGAAATCTGTCCTCGATGGAGCTGCGAAGAGCGGCGCGCAAACCGTGGCGCAGATTGTCGATTCCTCTGCATCCGCCTCATCTTTCAAGGACGATGCGCGGTGACGACGCGGTCGTTGTCTTAGATTGAACTCACGATACAGTTGGGCGAAGTGACTGTATCCCATATAATTGCACATTGATTCGTTACGCGTATGGACAAAACGCCGTATCGTAATTTTTAAACAAGTGAATGTCGAAGTTCTCACAGTGGAAGTTGCGGTTTATCTGCAATTGCGGATTCGATTGAACACAAAGATGTTGTTAAGCTTAAGAAGAAGAGAAAGATCTCAAAATCTCTTCCACGATGTGATTTCTTTCCCTTTCCTTAAAAAAAAAACAAAAAAAAAAATCGAACACAAGGTGCAGTAATTTACACGAAAGGGCCTCGCTTTGACCGAGTATATATGTTAAAAAAACAAAAAAAAAAAAAGATATAATTGCAGCAAACACTACAAGAACATCGTTTAAACTGGTAACAACTTCATTACTTGTGCTATCGAAAAAAAATGGATGTTCTGCGAACTAAGTCATTCAACGTAAACATGATTTTCTATTCGTATTATAATTATTGTTGTTATTAATAATTATTGATAATTGAATGTACATATACAACGTACCACGTGTAAACACGTACACACACATACATACATACATACACATACATACATTCATACATATAGTCAGGTAATAAATGATACATACACAAAACCACACCCCAACGATACCGAGAGAAAGAAAGAGAGAGAGAGAGAGAGAGAGAGAGAAAGATAGAGAGAGAGAGAGAAAAGCGGATCGGTACGAAAATTAAGTATGATAAAAAAGAATTGGCCCATACCTGCAGATAAGCTCATTAACGGATACATTCAGAAAACACAATGGTTGTGCAACTTCTGAAAAATTAATACTTAAGAATTAGTGTAATTTTTCTAGATTTTTTGCATGAATATATGTTCTTCTGCGGAGAGTGCACATTCATGTGAAAAAAAAAAAAAAAAAAACGTTTATACAAGCGAAATGGGGTTTTTTTTTCTTTTTCTTTCTTAAAAAAAAAAAAAAAAAAAAAAATATATAAACGAAACTGTTACTATTGACTGTTGTGTCTTCTAAATGCGACCAATGTTAGGGTCATGTAGGTAATAGACGAATGTATGCGAAAGTGAATGCGTAAGTGTGGGAGAGAGCGAGAGAGAGAGAGAGAAAGCAAAGCTTGCCCGGCGCGCGCAAAATGGTTTTTTTTTTCGCGCTACGTAGATCGCACACGAAGCACCAGAATCGGCCGACGACGTGATTTAGAAAACGGAAGCAAATTTGTCAAATCGTGGTGCTCGCTACGCGCGCGATTTAGCGCCGAAAAAAAAAAAAAGAAAAAAAAAGAAAAACGCCGTGCGCTCCCGCGGCTTGAAAGCGAGAGAAAGTGGCGGGAGAGAATGAGGATGCGAGCGAGAGTGAGAATGAATTTAGTACGTACGGTTGATAGAAAGAATGCTCACTGTGAATATTTTTATTAAATTTTCAAGTTTGATGACTTCCGTCGCAATTAATAAATAAACATAAGTAAACGTAAGTAAAAACATCCAACAGATTATTTTGTCTTTGCCGCTCTTGATCCTTCATCCATGAGATCGCGTGCGCGAGAGAAGATTGCGTGTTCTTGTGTCTACGTAAAAAAAAAAAAAAAAATACCGACTCATTAGCGGAATTATCATTACGTTACTTCCGCCAGTGTGACCCACGTATTTCCGGAAAAGCGAGACGAGGTAACTCCGCTAACGAATCACCTGGTAACGTAATTCACCTGGCAATAACGCTCCAGTGGCGGGAACTGTTGTGTGTGTATGTATCGGCATAGTGTGCATGTACGGAACACACACACACACATACACACAGGGACTGAATCGTGTGTACGTTTTCCCCAAGGGAAAATATCCCTTTTCTACGTGTTCCATTTGCTGCAACAACGTTCGAAAGAGAGAAATGAAATTGTGTATGTGTGTAGAGAGAATTTCTTCCCTCTCTCAAGTAACCGAACGTTGCTCGAATAAACGTCAACCGTGACCGACGCGATTGGTCAATTCCATCCGGAATGCTCGGCCGGTAACGTCAATCAAAGTTTTGTCGCGTCGTCTTGGCCATCTACATATACGTCATCATTACTTGCCATACCGCGTCGATTCTTCGTCGCAGCAATCAGCTGGCGTAAACTATTGTTCGCGCCAAAACGGATTAAAAAGGCGGGACGACCAGTCACGGCTCAACACAAACTCTCTCTCGTACGTTTTTTTTCTGACGCGAGAACGCGAAACACTTGCATTGTGTGATCTCGCAATTATCTCTAGCGTGTGAAAAATGTCGCAGCCATCAGTAGCGGCGTATTTTAACACACGGAAACGTCAGGCGGGCGACGAATTACGCGGTAAATCCAAGGTTTTGCTGTTGGAGCGAGATCACTCGAGCAGTCAAGCGTTGATAGATACCGAGAATTCGGACCAGATCTTGGACAAGGAGAGCGCGAGTCCGAAAGTCGTGTTGAAGGATGCGCCCGCAAACGCGAAGGAAGTTTTTCGCGTCAACAGAGTTGTTCGCAACATTCAGTTCGATTCACCGAAAGGAACGAGCTCCGATAAGGCCAGCAAACCAAAAACACGAGTCACGCGCTCACGCACCAGATTGTTGTCCACTGATGGAAATCAGACAGATATTCGTGATAGCTTGCTGAAGAAGAGAAGCGATGATACGCCAACAAAATCTGTGCCTTTTGAGAAAAAAGGCGCTCTCAGCCCAAAGAAAAAGCAACCGCAAACTCCTAAAAAGAGCTCTTTTGTTCCAAAAGAAAGCACGATTGAAGAGACCGAGAATGAACAGCTTGCTGATAGTCCAACATCATCAAAGATACTCTCGAAGATGGAGAAACAGGCGAGAATTGAAAATTTGAATTTGATCGAAATCAAGAACAGACTCAACAAGTCCTCCAGACTGATGGAATTGCAAGCCAGAATACAAAAGATCAAGCAGTGCGAGAAGAAGTTAGAGAACATGAATAAACAGTCTGCTGAAGAAATCTCGAATAAAGAAGTCACAAAACCTAAGATGCAGAAGTTTGAAAAGATAGAAGTTGAAGTTCCCTTGAGGTAACTAATTTTTATATAATAACTTAATTGTTGAATAATGATGTGATAATTTTGCTTGTCTTTAAAGTCCACAGAAAGAATATAAGTCTCCAACTAAGACATTGTTGACTCCAACTAAGAACAAGGATCTGGCAAAAATAGCCAGTCCAGAAAGGCGACTTTTATTTGAACCTAAAGAAACAAGCCCGGTCAAATCCAGTCCTACTAAAGCATATCAAAGATATCTGTCACTGGCTGAAAGTGCAAAGCCTGGACTGGCACTACCAAGTAGCTATAGATTCTTGGCCGAAGTGTTCCGATGTATAGATACGGTAATATTTCTATCTGAAAGCATTTTTAACATACCCCAGTATGTTCCGAATATATTCACAGTGTGTGTTTTGTTATTAATGTTTTTTGAAATAACAAAATGCAGTAAGTTTGATTTATGCTTTCAGGTGTCAGCGATGCTGTTTAACAGAAAGGAGTTAATAACATTTGCAAAATTGAAACCTTCAGTTCAAGAGCTGTTGCGTCGTGATTTAACACTGCATCATCTATCTCAAATAAAAACTATTTATCCTGATGCATTTACCTTTCATCAGGAAAAATATAGGAATTTTGGTTCTGTGTCCAAACAAGAGAAATACGAGTTGGTTCTGACACCTATGGTTGAACCCAGTAATGGAAGAAATACACCGGATGCCGACAATATATTGAAATGTGCATCAGAGAGCAGTATGAGTCCTAAAGTATTGCTGGAAAGACGAAAGAAATTTTACAATGCTCTATTAGGTATCATTTCAACTAGATTTATCTAAATCAACTGTTTGTGCATGTAGCTTTAAGTTTTTTCCTTAATTTTATTAACACGATGCAAATTTGACAGAGAGAGTAAGAGATGAGCACGAGAAATTTTTGCAAAGCTGTGGACATGTGAAATTACTAAATATACCAAGAGAGAAACTGATATGTTGGCATCCCATGTTTGATGTGGAAACTTGCAAGGAAATTGAGGAGGCCGAACTGCCACAGCCTCCTGAAGTTGAAAAACCAACTGCTAAAGATGTTCTTAGTAAGAATTACGATTGAAAATTTATATATATGTGATAAAATTAAGTTTCTATTGCGGTGATCTATAAATTTACAATTTTTGTGTCATCGTTAAAAAAAGAAAGATAATTTTTATAGATTTTAATATATGTAGAATTCGAATCTAATTTTGGATTTTTGTTATCAAGTTGGAACTTAGAGATTTATATATAAAATAATCTCGAAGATGAATGTTATCACTCTACATTTGTTATTACATTGTCAAATTTTTTTGTATATATTTGTGTATATATCTTATCTATACGCGCGTCTGTGACCGCATAGAAAGGCTAACATTCTTAACTTTAATGCATACGTGCATTCTAGAGACATTCTATTGTATTAGAATGATACAACTATTTTTTATTTAGAATAATACAAGTATGCGTGGAATGTCCATACATAAAGTTTTTGTTACAAAAGTATGTTCTCTCACACGATGATGTAACGTGGTCTCATTCCTTAAAGTAGGGCAGAGTATCGCGCAAGAGGAAGAACAGCGCGTTTGCATATTTTCAAAATTTGTTAGCGTTAATGTTGAAAGACTTTGGTGATTGATCAGCACATAACAATCGGTATAAAAAGTAACTGTTTATGCGTAACACTTAAACACTTGTACACTTGTTCTTGCATTATGCATTCCACGCGTCGATCTTCAAGAAAACACTTTAACTTGTTTACTGTAAAAAATGGATTTAAAATAACACTTAGAAACGATCAAATTATTTATAGAATACGTAAGCTGTTCCGTTTATTTATTTTTTTATTTTTTTATTAGTAGTTAACGATACGGATTTATTTAAAATGTATTAAAATAATTATATGAATTTTGTACAGACAAAGCTAAATCTTTGTTCAACTGTGGCACACGCATGGAGAAAGCGCTGCAGAAGCTGAATGAAACAAAAATGACTTCAAACTCGAAGTCCCCCACGCAAGATTCTACAACTCAGACTACAGAAGATGGCATTCCAAAAGTTAACATTACCATTGTAGATACTCCACCGGCTACACCATCCACAAAGGATCACGTCAATTCGCTTCTCAAAGGCATTCCTAAAGCTCTACTTGAGAAGGTAAAAATACTATTTACAGATAAGAAAAAAAAATACTATTTACAGATACGCTCATCATAAAACAACTTATATATGTTATAGTTTAAATTCGATATAAATATTTTTGACCTTGTGAATATTTGTAGGTTCGTGCTAAACAAGCGGCCAAGGCACTGGAAGCAATGACAAGAACACCAAACGCGGACAAGGAAGTCGCAATGTATTCCAGATTTCCCGAATTAGCGAAGCTTCTTCGCAATATTTTTGTAACAGAGAAAAAAAGCGTTCTTTCGATGGAAGCTGTAATACAAAAACTTGACAACTCGTTTCGAACAAAACTAACATCGCAAGAACTGGAAGAGCATATTCGTCAGTTGTGCAAACTGCTACCTACATGGAGTACAATACATAACGTACGAAAAGTCGATTATCTCAAGTTGAACAGAAACGTTGAGCTTAACAAAGTGATCAAACAATTAGAAATTTTAGCCGACGATAAGGTCAAGACTAAGGTGTCTTGATGTGCACGTCAAGGATTACGGGTGGTATTCGCAGTCGGATCTTGTATCTGCGATCGTCTTGAGTACAGCGTCAAAGATGAACTTAAGACAATCTTGAACGTAAGGTTGAACTACGAATACCGTCGTCTATATTTATTTTCACTTATTATCACAATTCTTACATATGTAGAAAGTGCTGTTTTTGTATATTTACATCTGAATTATTACAAGATGATTGAATTGCACATCTTAATTATAATGTCAAAATCGGGGTTTTACTCTTCAGCGACTAGTTTTTTTTTAACACGAAGGGTACAAGGCATAGAACAAGATACAAAATACGAGAACATATAACATTTAATGTTGCATGTACTTTTCAAGTTTTATTACGAAAAAAAAAAAAGAGTTTATTTTAATATGCTCAATGTTTGATAAGATGCAATATGATAGTACGTTTATAATGTGAAATATAATAAAATACAAAACACTCTATTTTTCATACACACAGTAAAAAAGTATCGATATGTGCGTAAACTTATGTTCTCAGTAATCGCGAAAAATTTGTGTAAGAAGTTATCTGAATTTCTTAAGTGAGACAATCCTGACGAGAAGATGTGTAAGCACTGTTTTTGATTATATATATTTATTTAATAAAGCTTCTGGATAATATTGCACACTTTAAAATATATTATCACTTGTGTAATTTTTCTCAAATGTACTTGTAACCATATATAAATTCTGATACACACAGATATTAATTTTAATTTAGATAGTTCAATTTATTTTTTCCTTCAAAATTTCCAAAGAAATTTGTTTGATATTTAAAAGCTTTTGCGTATTCTTATGTAAAAAAAATAACAGATTTATAATTTTTCGGTTTGAATTTACGAACTTTGCCACAACTGTCTACCGTTCCGAAGAAAAACGCGATCTATTTGTAATTTTCAAAATTTCGAATCAACTCTCGAGATATTGCGATTCTCGAAATATCAAATGCGCGCGCATATTTCGAGAATCGCGGCACATATGACCAGCGGAAAGAAAAATGAGAGCGCGGGCAGAAGCTCATAAAAGAATTTTTACAATCCGTAAGCTAGCGCATGTCCACGGGCACATTGGCAACTACGTAGCGATGTCCACGAGCGATTTGTCGTGCGTTATGTTCAACCTTGGACCTGGTTCTATTCTTCGCTGGTAGACGTTGCTGTAGTTGCCAATGTGCACCACCCATGGACGTAGCGTTGGCTTACAGGGCGGAAAAGCTATTTGTTTTTTATATGACCCAGGCCGCCCGGACCGCGCGCGCTCTCAGTATTCTCTCTGGCCTAGACGTACCGTACGATATCAGCTGATACCAGTGTCATCGAACGTCAAATCTCCAAGTATACTTATTTATCTACAGCGCGTATTAAATATAAGCGTGCGGATAAGATTTAGGAAATCAAAAGCGCAATATGTTTATAACGAATGTATTATTGAAGAAAGCAAAAAGCAAGTAAGTAAAATCATCGATGAAACAAATGTAAACCTTGAGGTTAGGTTAGGTTAGGTTAAGGTAAAATATATAGAGTATGCAGTAAAAGTACAATTGGTCCAAATGATCTCTCCTGGTCTAATGCAAGGACTGCGAACCCGAAGAGTTTCTGAGTTTTGAATCTGCCTATCCTCTTGGTGTTTTTTTTTTTTAATACCGATCTCTCTCTGTGTTAAATAAGTTTCAACTGGAACTCCAGGCAACAACACCCCTGTACTAGACCGCGAGAGCATTAAACTAATCTAAGGCATGTATTGAAAATACAAAATTTGTAGTCAAGCAATAAAAATTCTCTTTGTTAATCAAACACAGCTTTATTATTGGGTAAAACTTAGTACTACTTGTGTTGTTTGTTGCAGAGACATCTTGGTTATGGCAGAAAGCATTGTGAGTGGCCACAGAGTGTTGCGTATTCGAGAAAGGCTAGCTGATAAATTAGAATTTATAGCTTTTGATCCTTTTGGTAAGTAATTAATTTTGCGTGTTAAGTTAGGTTCTACAATTGTAAAGTAATTGTAACTACAAGTAGTTTCTAATATCTAAGCCCAAAAACTTGAGTGTGCTTCGTCACACTTTTTAATGTAATCTTGTAATAGATATATGTGTATAGTGACCAAAAGTAATTAAAATATATAATACTTTAATAGTTATTTATACGCAAAGTAGTGTTATATAAATAATGATAAATAGAGGTTTGTTTGCGTCGCATGCCCCAACATGTTCCTACTCGCCCCAACGCGTCCTAACAGTGAATTCGGTAGCCTGCACTAGTGCGCACTGAGTGCGAGTTTTTTTTTATTCACAGGCGCGCGCTACGCGCACGCTATTGTTATTTTTATTTAACGTGTTGTCAGTGAACACAACCTGTCACCGCAATGACAGATAGTATATATGTCTTATAAACCATATAATACACATATGAGAAATGTCAGAAGTAACGCATGAAAATCAAACTCAAAAAATAGTGAGAGAGAGAAGTGGAAAAACAACACGTGACAGGGAAGAGGGTAAAAGAGAGAATATTATATATATATTATATGTAATATTCTATAACTATATATAATACACACACATACGCATATATGTATATATATATACCGTAATCACGTGACCGAAGTCAGTAACCCCGCCGCGGTCGCGCGGCCGAGGTCAGTGACCTCCCCCCACCAAGGCCGCGCGGCCGAGGTCAGTGACCCGCCAAGGCCGCGCGGCCGAGGTCAATGCCCCGCCAAGGCCGCGCGCGGTCAGTGACCTCCTCCCCCCACCAAGGCCGCGCGCCCGCGGTCAGTGACCTCCCCCCACTAAGGCCGCGCGGCCGAGGTCAGTGACCCGCCAAGGCCGCGCGGCCGAGGTCAATGACCCCGCCAAGGCCGCGCGACCGAGGTCAGTGATCCTAGCAAAGTCGCGCGGCGGAGGTCAGTGACATTACTGTAGTATGTATATAATACAATATAAAGTATAATATTATAAATATATAATAAATTATATGTATATAATATGTATTATTTAATGTTATATATAATATAAAATTGCATTCACGTTATTTTCACGTGTTGTTTTTCTACTCTTTCCTGTCACGTGACTTTAGTTACGTTTTTAATTTTCTCTACATATACGACGAACTGTTTCAAAACTTTTCATTATTTATTCTCTCTCTTACCGATTCGATTCGACTCGATCAACCAACCAACCAACCAATCGGCAACGCGGACGTCTTTTTTAATATAGGAAAGTTTATTAAAAAAGTTTTGAAGTTTTATTAAAGTTTCATTGAAAAAAAGCGCGTTGGAGCGAATAGGAGCATGTTGGGGCATGCGACGCGAACAGACCTTAGATATTTATATGCTCACAAATAATATACATAAATTTTTTTTACAGTCCAAAAAGATGCGTTATACAGAGAATCAAAGAAAATACGTAGTTTAGGCAAAAAAACTTAAATAAATGAAGTTGATTTTTCAAAAGATTTTGTTTTATTGATACTATCTCTGTTTCGTACAACGATTGTCATAATAGAGACTCCAGCTGTATCTGGCACAGAACATCAGACTTTGCATTAACAGCAAAGTCCTCTAAAGATACTCGGAATTGTTAATACTTGAGTTTTTCTTTTATAACCGAGTATTAATTAACATTTTTACAACACATGCTTTAATTTAAAATACTTTTATCTACGATACACGTTATATTATGTATATGTGAACATATTACCACCAAATTATTATCATCTACAATGTATGTAATTGATCGGTTCTAACAGAAAATTTTGTATCATAACGTGTATAAAATCTCAACTATTTATACATCGTAGCATGTTTGTTTTTACATAAAATTAACAAAGAAAAACAATTTTTCTCATAAACGCGAATTGCTGCAATTTTTCATGACAAATCTTGTATAAATGTGATAGTATATATGTGTAAATAAAGTTAACAAAATATTTAGTATTTGAATTAAAGTAACAGATCCGGATCAATAAAGTCCGACAAGAAAATATTCCCAATAAACGACACACGATATTTACATTTTACGACGACTTTTATTTTGTTTTGTTCTTATTGCTACACAAACAACAATGGAACATTGATCTCTATTTCACAAAAAAAAAAAAAAAAAAAAAGACATTTACGAACATAGTTACTTATTCCTTATTAACTCTCTCTGCTGTCTCTGAGAACTCGTCGATTTATAATTAATTAAAATATTACATATGTTTTAACATATATATGTTGTAATTCAATATTTAATTGATCGTAAAATGACGCGCGCATCATCAGCAACCGTATGAATGATATTCGATAGGTGTGTCTTGCGACTTTGGGAACCCCGACTTCTGTATTCCAGTCTCTAGTTGTAAGATTATGAGATATCGAGAGTTTGTATTCGATAAAACAGAACTATACAACTTTATTGAGCACATTGATTTTTAATACCGGCACTAATACTTGTTTTGCTTATTGACTTAACTTTCGTTCAGCGCTAAAGAAAAACAAGTCGAAGTCTTATAAAACCTAAAATGGAATATTTGAATCAAACTGTATTCTGATATTCAGTACTGCAAATCTATACGTTTACGTCACGTTTACTGACGTGGCAGTGAATATCGTAACACAGTCGTGTATATTATTTATTTCGATTTTTCACATTCGATTTCTTGAAGTAAATTCGACAGATCGCCCAATGTCACACAAGCAATAAAGAAAATCGACACCCCGTAATTTTTTTTTTTTTTCAATCGAATTCCACATTTGTTAAATATAAATGAAATATATATGTAAATCAAACAATTTGATAAAAACACATTAAGCATGTTCTATTTAAAATATTACTCCGCACTGTTGTTAAAAACTCCAATATTTTCCTGAAAATTATTGAAAATATCTTTAAGAAAGAAAAAAAAGTATCTCAATCGACTGTTTATCGAATGTTCATCTCCCGTTTTATTAAACCATGACACCGCGTTGTGCCAGCAATTGTTTCCTTTGGTGAAGACTCGGCGATTCCACAGTAATCTCGTCGACTTTTACGCTGTCGAACGACTTGGAGGTTTTGAAATTATTTAGGACGTTCAAGCACTTATTGCTCGTCATCTCGAGAGACTTGGAATTTCTTAGCGACGCGCTAGCTAGTTTCTTAATAGTTTCTGAGATAGGATACTTAAAGTCCGCTCTTTCTCTTTCTCTCTCTTTGATTCTTTGACTATCATCAACCACCAACAAAGAATCTTTCTTCTCCGCTTTTTGGGGATCCGTTTTATCTTCTTTGCTCATTTTCAGATTTTCGTGTTTCGTCCTCTGATTTTCGTTCTCGTCGGTTTTTACATTTCTACAGATCGTTATCGATTTTGATTGATTTTTGAGCGAATCCAAGCACGAATGCTCGTTTTCCTCTTCTTCCTTCCTATCGTCCTGTCCTAACAAAGACTTTGGTGGCGCCTCCACGTAACCGCTCTCGTCGCTGTCGGCCTCCTCGTCGAGAGAATCCAAAGTTAGGAATGAAACGTCCTCGTTCTGCAGAAACTCGTGCCCAGTCCTACCGGGATACGTCTCGTTCGTTCGCCTCTCTCTGCTTTGCGATTCGTCAATCCTATTCAGCATCTCGCCCCTCGGTCGATAATCCACCACATCCTCGAGATCCTCGACGTCCTCGAAGTCGAATACATTCGAGGTGTCTATCTCTTCCTCCTCCTCTTCCATCGATTCTTCCTCCTCGCTTCTCAGAGGTAACCTCTTCACCGGATTCATAGAATTGAAACGAGGACTACCGGTACACGTCATGAAGTGCGGCGAGCCTTCCGAATTTCTTCGCGGTCCCAGTCCCCCGCCAACTCGAGTCTCCGACAAGACCCTCTTGATCGATCCTCGTTGATCGTTTTGATCTGGCAAATGCATTTTGAAAGGTAAGCAAGTTTTAAGAAGTAAACTAGAGAGTAATAACGGTTTTTATATAGCACGTTTTCAACTGGTTTCTACTTGTCAAGCAACTGCCCTTTCGACACACTAACTAACTTGCAATAGCATTGAAATATTCGCCCGTTTAATGTTGGTTTTTTTGTAAAAGAATATTTTAAAATAAAAAAATTAGTACGTTACGCCGCATAATTACAATATTAAGATATCACGTAAGACAACATTTTAACTGATCGAATATTTTATTTGAAAGCAAGAAATTGATATTTTGCATTTCTGTTGCATTTGTTGAAAAATATTGAAAAAAAAAAGTGAAAACGCAATTAACAAAAATAATAAGTTCGCAAATGTGTGCTCACTCTGTGCGAGATGATCTTCCAAACCGGTGGCTGCTCTCTCCTCGCTCGTAGCCGTGCTGGCGGTTTCGCATCCGCTGGAGATGCTGCCGTTCTCGTCGGAGGACTCGCGATTGAGAGCGTCCAGCAGCCTGGCTATTTTCCAGCCGTCCTGATCCTCCCAACTGCGTGCCACAGTCTCCAAAGAGTGCAGTTCCTCCAGCAGTCTTTGTTGTTCTATTTCCTCGGCGACAGCGTCCTCCTCGATCGCCGACAATTTTGGCGCGCTCTTCGATCTCTCCAAGGGCGGCCGATAATTCTGGCCGCCCGTGCTCAGCAGAAGTTTTCTGCGTGGCAACGACGGGTTGTCGTACAACGCGTTTGCCAGAGACAACCTGCGTGACAATACATCATAAACAATTATTGATTTGATTCTTCATAATCTACGAGACATTGTACTCTTGATTCTTTCTCGCTTTTCTTGCTTCTCTTTCTTTTTCTTGGTTTTTTTTGTTTTGAACGAGAATAACATAAATTGTCTTACCGCTAGAAAAATGTGTATCTCTCGAACCACACTTAATCATTTATTCCTTTCCCTTTTTTATTTATTTATTCCTTTTTTTTTTTTTGTCTCTAAACTTTCTCGAAGTAGCAAGGAGAAACGTCGTGTATAAACATAAATATTATTTCTCACCTGGCGTTCTGCCTGGAAACCTTGTCCCGACGGAATTCCAGCAGCGCCTGCTGCAGTCTAGCATTTAGGATCGAGGCGAGTCTCCTTGCGGTCGACTCCTTGCTACACAAGGCGGCGTGGCACCTAAGTTCGGGCCTCAATCTACGGCCTTCGTGACGATACACCCAGACGAAGAGACGCGGGTGAGAAGCCGGAGCGGTGCAGTAAGTCACACGGTGGGCCCAGTACTCGGTGAGACCGTGATCCTTGGTGGTGGCGGTGAGACCGCCGCTGGTCACCGTAAGTCTCATAGAAACGTCGGGTCTGCTGCTGGTCATGTAATTACGCCATAGGGTCGACACGGGCTTCTCGACGCAGCCTTCACCTGAATATGAAAAAAAAAGAAAAAATCTTCAATCTTTCGGACTTTGTTACCGTCACCGTTTATATGATTGTTCACATGCTACACCAAGTTAAAAAGTTTTTACGAAAGTCAGTCCGAACAAAACAATACTCGAACCACTTTCTCTGTCTTCAAATAATATATAAATATATAAATTTATTTAAATATATTTTATTCTCACGAGATTGTTGCGCGATTTTATTCTTAGAGAAACAAGGCTAAACTCTTCGAGTCCGAATGTTTTCTGAGAAAAGCCGCGGGGTAATTAAGTAAAAGAAGAAAGGAATTTGTTACACATAATTAGCCTGTTTAAAAGCAACTGTGTCTCTCAGCGGTATGCGTTTCGGTTTGGCCAAAGTGTGTCACTTTGCGAGACTGACCTCTCGCGGATACGCACGATCTGCGCGCATACCTCCTTGTGCATTGCGACGATCTGCTAGTCGGCGATTGAAGCACGTCGGTATGTACGTACATACTTGCGGACGCGACACAAGTACGTCCATCCAAAGAGGCAATATCTCCCGGACTTTTGATACAATTCGATTTGCCGCTACGGCGCGCCATCTTGGATCGCGTTACCAATTTAGAGATACACAAGTACAGTTACTTGGTTCGAAAGCGAGCCGAATCGCCGAGTAAAATAGGCGGAGAATGACAAAGAGAGAGAGAGAGAGAGAAAGGGTAAAAAGGAAGGGGAAAGGTGCAAACCTGAAGGGAAAAAAAAAAGGAAAAAAAGAAGAGAAAAGGCGACGTAGGACAAGTGGGTAAGTACACATGCCCGGGAGTCGTCTCTCGCGATTCCGCTATTTGCGAAAAGTGGCGATCTCAAGCCTGAAAGTGGTTTGCGCGCAAAAAGCGGCAGCACACACAGAGAGACTGTGTCTCTCGCGTGTGTATACACACGCTCGTTTCTCGAGATATAAATCGCGAGGCGAGGTGGTTTGCACCGGCGAAGCTGGCGATAAATTAAAATCCTGATAGAGCGAGAAAACGTTTATTTTGAAATGGAATTTTTCTTATTTCTCGCGTTACGTGGGAGACTTCAACAACGTAAATGTTATATCAATTTGCAATGCATATATACATATACATATATATATCGCGCGCGATGCTCTTTACAATTACAAATAGTTATCTGATTTATCACCGGGGAATAAATTATTATTATTATTATGCAAACGTCACGGATTTCTTGGATGCGTGTTGCGTCATCAGCGCGCGCGCGATCGTTATTATATCGCCACGCCGGTCAAGATTGATAATCGTGACATGTTTGGCGGCATTACTTTTTACCCGTAACAACAAAAAGTCTTCTTGCGTTTTATAAACAGCGGTCTATAGGTCAGTCATTATGCAAATGATATTGAAGGATTACGCGCGCGCGTGTATGTGTGTGTGTGTGTATTACGCGTGTAATCCCTCGAGATCATCGGCTCTCTCTCTCGGACGACGTGGCGCGATAACGAGATCAGCGCTTTCGTGAAAAATATGAATAGGAAAAGACAAAACACAACGCGAAGAAAGAAAATATTGTCTTCCTTTTCCTTCCGCGATAATTGTTTTTCTTCATGTTATCTCTTTAATTAACCGCGCGTCCTCTTAATTAACCGTCTGCGTGATTTTGTTTTTGAGAGCACACCCTCGTCGAAAAGCAAAGTCGAAAACAATATGAAGTTTTGAAAATTGTGTTTTTATATAACTTAAGTATCTTTATGTGAAAAAAATATCTTTATATAATTAAATATTAACAGCAAAAAGTTTATTAATTATAAATATTATACACGAGCACGTTAAACGAGCAGTTGCATAATGTACGAGTGACGATTTATAATTTGTAAGAAAAAGAGTATATCGATTTTTACACGTACAATCTGAACCTTTTGAACTACATTTATGTCACGGATTTATTTATGTCGCTAGGCATCAGTGCGAAAGTGCAAAAGACAAGCATCTAAGAACTATGCGAACACATTCTCAATAACACGTGTCTTAGCAATATTATGAAATAATGCAAAAAAAAAAAGAAAAAAAAAACACTGGGTATTACCACAAACGAGCATTCTTCATACATTTTGTTACTATTAAATTATGTCAACACGTCACATCGTCGTGAACGATTGGTATGTAAAAAGAAGTAGCGCGACATAAATAAAAAATGTAAGTGTTTATCGAATCGCGCAGTATCTTCCGAGAATGAAAGGCAGATGTGTGTGTGTGTGTGCGTGCGTGCGTGACTAAGAAATAGATTTTTTTTCCAAGCTTCAGCAATTCACGTTTTAAAAGCCGCTTGATTGTCAACTTTGAACCGACGACAAAAGGATGTACGATCGTACATCGATCAAGCACGCACGATCTCTCTGTTATGAGACGATGACACTCCGTCTTTCTTTCAAAGACAACACGATCACGTGTGAATTTCCGATTGACGTGTCGAGATTTCGCACAATCGTTTTTAAAGATCCGACATCCACACGTGGATCATCTATTCTAAATTGCCTGCTCAAACTTGTATAAAACAAAAAAAATCTCGTTTTTTCTCAAATATTATGCAAACTTTATAATTTTTTTTTTCTATCGAGTCGATACCTCGCGCGAGAAAAAAATAAAAATTTTAATGTGTTACAAAATTTACATTTTAATTTCACAGGAAAAGTAAAATGAGTAAGTATTAATTCATGTGCAATTGATACATGTGCAAAACAAAGGATCCGATTAAAATTTTCGAATTGAGTTCGAATTATCGCGTGTAACAATTTGCGCATTTAAAAATTGTATTTCGCGCGCGTTTACATTCAGCGCGCACGGCTGACATTGACCGAAAAACTCTTTGCTGAAGATCGATGTAGTGTAGAAATGTATTCGTGTGTAAATTTATGGTTTTTTTTTTATTTTTATTTAAAACGCATCTCGAGAGAAGAACGCGTGTATGTAAATTAATGTATACACGACTCGTGCTCATCGCAGAACGACGGTAACGTATCCGTAATCGCGCTGTATACAGGTTCGGAAAAAGGGCATGAAATCGAATGCAAATAAATACGCGCGGAGTTAACAATGGGTTCGGTATGTCTGCCTATTTTGTGTGCAGGAAGCCTTGTACGTTCAATGGCGCAACATTTTATTCCGAGCGTGTCCAGAGAAAGCGCGCCGGGGAGATCCGATAAAAGCGATCCTTCGCCTTCAGGTGAAATGGCGTAGCGTATTCCAAACCGCTTTATAGAGAGCACACGCTGCAAAATCCTTGGTAACTTTCTACATTTTTCAAACAATCTCTTCACTTTTTTTTCGCTTGCTCCGATAAACACGAACCGATGAGAGAATTTTTCTTTTTTCGTGTGTTTTTTTTTGGTTTAAATTTCATAAACACAAATTATTCTCGCAATTTTATTTCATTCATTGAAATATTTCTCGGTCTTCGTTGCAAATAATAATATAACAATATTGTTAAATTGCGTTATAAATAACGCTCTGATGTTTTGTTCAAACAATCAATTGATGTTTTTATTTTTATTATCGGAAATTGTTTCAAAAATTTAACAAAATGCGCATCTCTTTGACGAAAGAGGAAATGAATTTACACCTTCGGGTAAGTTGTACAAATCTGGCATAAATGAAATTAATTCCAAGTCACGGACCGTTCATGGGCCGTGACGATTCATCAAGTAGCGCGAACATTGCGATCGAATTATTGCGAACGGAAAAACAGACGGTCTGGAACGACGCGGAACAGGAAGCGACGACGAGAGAGAGAGAGGACGCGGCGCGTCACGTGCTCCCCGTCACGCTGTCAAGTCACCGACATATTAGTTGCTGTCCGAGTCATTTAATTAAAGTAATGTCGCGCGCGAGTTTTTTTTTTTAGCGGTCGGTTTAGCGCATCGGATCTGCGTGCGATCTTTTGTTTCGATTTCGCAAGAAGAAAACAAGAAAAACATTGCGCGCGAAACTTTCCACGGGAAAAGCGGCGTCGGCATCGCGTGACCGAACTGAATGTCGCGTGCATTGTGCGCGCAATGGTCAGATGCCGAGTAACGTTACATTACACAGATGCGAAGTAAAACGCGGTGCAATAACGGGTCTCATTTTTCACGCGAATCAACGCCGCTAATTAATGCCGAAACAAGATCTGCTCTCGGACACATCTTCGATACGTAACACACCACTAATGTTTTTAATTATTCATTGTATAAAAACATTTTAACTTATAATAATTATTATAATAATTAATAATTTATATATGTTTTATATAAAATTTTTTACGTTTCGTTTTTTCGAAAATGACCGATTGATTTATTGTATACACGTGTGCTTTTACGCAAAAAAAATTACGAATAAAAAAACAAAAACGCTTACAATTTAATTTAAATTTCGAAGCTGCGGAAAAAGTTGAACGTTGCTCAACTGACGATTTTTGAAACAAAAAGTCGGTTGCTTGCTCGAACAGTCAAAAAAGCACGTTTAAATTTTTGACTGACATATAAGTGTCTCCGTTTTTGTTACTCTTGAACGACGTGTAAAAAAAAAAAAAAAACTTAAATATTACTTATCCATATTATGTAGATACAGAAGTTGCAGAAGTTTCGCGGAACATTTACAATATTCTGTTTCCTTATCTTTTGCATAATCGAAAACGTTACGTAAAAAATTAGTGTCTCCAAAAGGAACAAGCATTTTTCTTGCGAACGGAAACACATGAATTTCGTTCGAATCGATTTTCGCGTGGAAAAAAAAAAAAAAAAAGAAAAACAAAAACTACGCAGCACTCAAGATCAATGAGTACGTTAATACATCACGTTCGACGGAACGCATATTAATCATATTTTGCCGCGCGCGAAATTATATCTGTGCAATTAAAGAAACATATCTATCCGTAAATGATGATTTACAACAAACCAAAACGCACCGCGATACGAAGATACATATTAATTATTGGAGATTATATATGATTTATATATGACTGTAATTATTGCGCTTTATATACA